TTTTTTCTGCTGAACGCGGCCTATGTGCGTAGTGTGCGCGCGCATGCGTGTATGTGTATATCAGTGATCATATTTGATCTCAACTTCAGAAATCGCATTACGCGTGCTCGTAAAAATTTATAATTTTAAATCGACATCCCATTTTTACAAGATCTTACTTCGCCAAATTCCTTGGGAAAATGATAAATCACATTATTATAATCCAATTAAAAATATGTATATATACATAAATGTGTATCTATTTAATTTCAAGTTCACTGCTTTAATAACGAATATATCTTAATACTTTTATGTATTTATAAAATAATGAAATTAGTGCAAAGAAAAAATTTACCTTTTTAACCTTCAAACCGTATACCTCCCTTGAGTACCTATTAATGGTACAGAGATAAAGGTACAAATTAAAACTTAACATTTTTAATTGCAAGTCTCTCTTGAGGATTAAAATAAAAATTTCTTCAAAACCACTCTTTTCTTAGGTATAATTTTCTCACGAATCAATTTTAATAAAAAAACATATTTAACATAGTGGGGATAAGCTGGCAACTTTCAGCACTTTCAGTTCATGCGCAATTGTCAGCAAATTGAAAATTTGCGAATTCGCACTAATGTACGGTTTGAAGGTTAAAAAAGGTGAAAAAGGTACCAAAAGTACGTGTTTCTCGAAAAAAAAAAGAAAAAAAACTATTGTACCAAATTAAAAAGTAGAACACAAATGACCATTATTGTATCAAATTATAAAACAAGTGGTATTTTTCTCACGTACCAAATTAAAAAATAAAACTCCTATGGTCATACTATTTTTATTATTTACTTAATAATATGTACTTATTACAATATTTATTTAATAATGCCCTAATGAAACATTATTCGTATAAAAGATTCGATATCAACAACTAGCGCCAAGTTATAATAAATCCAATATCAAATTAAATAAAGAATATGATCGAAATGATATATCTTTAATTCTTAATAATGATAATTCAAAAAATAACTTTTTATAACTACCTGCGTATCTTTTAATTTGATCATTAAAGAGATTCAAAATTAAAAAAAAATTAAGTGGTAAGAATATTTTTAAAAAATGCAACAATTTTTTAAAATTATATATTTAAAAAAATTTGTTTTATTTTTGATAATTATAATTATATAATAATTATTAAGTACTCTTAAATCAGTCAACTATTATTCTAAATTTTTTTTCAATTTCATATTCAGATTAAAATCAAATAACCACTTTTTATAAGAGATATTTCACCTCTGAAACATGCGAGCGTATAAAAAAATGTATCACATAATAGAAAACAACATATTCAAAGCTGATCAAAATCGGAGGCAGCATTTGAATGTCTTTCTGTGTTAGAGCAATAAAGTAGTAGAACATAAATCTTAATATACTTGATTATGCCAGATCTGCATCATAGTTTTTGATGTTTGGAAAAGAAAAACAGTCTTCTACAGTTTTTAATGCACTGAATTCGAATTCATAAATGAACATGTTCTATTCAGGTGTCAGGTTTTTAAGAAAAATGAGATTAAGAAAAAAGCGTCTAACAAGGTATTTCAGCTATTTTTTTAAATTTGTAGTTGACAAATCTGTAATGTGTGAGATTTCTAAAAGAACTCAAATTAATGTTTGAACATTGTATCTTATTATAAAAATATCGAATCTTTTACAATTGGTATCGAACCTCTGACATGTTTTGTTTTTAGGAGTGTAGACGCACAGTGTCAATGATTACACCGATTAAGCTATGCAGTCTTTAATAACATTTGTATAAAATTTGCAAAAATTTCATATTTAGTAAAAAATTTAATTTTCTAATGCACACAACTTACATAATTTTTTAGTACAATAACATTACGAATTAAGTGTTTTGAAAAATTGTTTAAAAAATTTTTTAAACAAATGAGGAAATTTTTTATTATTTTACAAAAAATCATCTTTAGTTCCATATATTGAAATCATTATTGAAATTTTTACTATTTGTAATGATATTTTGCATTAGGATTAATCCTTACTTCTAAAAACAAAGATCTCTATAAAGTTACCTTATTTTCGAAAATCGAAAATCTTTAATCTGAAATCTTTAATTGGAAAAATTTAATCTGAGAGCTGGTATCTCAAGTTTCAAAAAAATTTATTTTTTTTATAAAATTCTCTTGTATTCGGAGAATTCTTGTTCTCGAACAGTTCCTAACAGTTTCGGCCTTTAAGTATTTTAAAATAATTTTTTAATATGAGTGCTGACATCGCATATCAAAAATGTAGTACTTCTTAATAGCCAGTTCCAGTCAATTAAAGCTTGAAACTTTGAATAGAAAGTGTCGGAACTATTGCAGAACTATTGGAAAATTTCAAGAAATCGGCTGGAATTGGCCGTGTGAGGTACTTTACTCTTATTGTATAAACGAACATTGAACGAAATCTATAGAAAGTGCCGGAATTATTGTAGAACTATCAGAAAATCAGTTGCAAATGACTACTAGGAGGTACACAGAAAAAATGTTATGGTTGCCACAACCAGAAATAATGATAATTTTCGCCCATCAATAAATTTGGTTATAATAATTGTAAGGTGGACATATCTTTACAGCCATAAGCGTTATATGCCAATCTTATGGATATCACAATTGTACTGCAGTTCTTATTAGATGCTTAAATTAATTCTCACTGTTTCTTGCTACAAAAACTCACATTTATTTCATCAAAAAGGTATTTTATTCACAATATTGCCCATCGAAAGCTATAACTTTTTCCCACTTTTCGGATAACAAATGGATTCCGTAGTAGAAAAATTCAGATTCTTTTAAGGCAATCAGTCATCAAGCCATTTTTTTGATATCTTCATTCGCAAATGACTTTCAGCAGCATTTCTTGAGATTAAAACAGAAAAGTAATGTTTCCCGCACATGCTCTTTTTTTAGTACGAAACCCGACATTTTTAATGCGAATAAAAAATTGTGTTCTTTACATCCAATCAAATGTTACATACTTGATTATTAAAACCTATTGATAATACTTTCATATACATCAGCAGTCACTTTTGGCCATGTTGAAATAACACAAATACTAACCTCTTTCAGTCAATAGCGAAAATTAATTTACCTATATTGGTTCTTATAATCAAAAAATATATGGATGATTTTTGAGTGTAGCAATTGTAGCTGTTTTTTCCACGTACTTTACTCATGACGTGCCAACATTAAGATTAAAAAATTGTTTAAAAGTATTTAAAGGTTGGAACTCTGAAGAAAACCTATACAAAGCGGCGGAAATATTGCAGAACTATCGGAAATTGAATAGCTGAAAGGAATAGAATTCTGTATCAATGAATTTTTAACTCTTCATAGTCTTTCTGGGTCAAAATGACTTGAGCATCGTCTTTCACGCTAAATTTTAATATCTTCCTTCCTTCGGAAAGGTATTTACCTGCCATCTACTAGAGGTTCAAAGTATTAATTATCGATAAAAATGCTTTTTAATCTGACTGTTAGTATGCGTCTAACAGCCATTCGCGCAAAAAGCATTTTTTTATCAGGTCAAAATGTCAGCAAGTGTGACCAGCGCGTCGTTTTAGTTAAAAGATTTATATTTTTGCAAAAAATATTAAATTGCAAAAATAAGCAAGATATGGATTATGTCCTTCAAATAAGGATAAAAAAAACGATTAGGAAAAAATGTTCGTCTACGACTTATGCGTGATAAACACACTCTCTAAATCTGAATCAGTGGATAATCTACTGAAGCATACTTGGTACAGAATATCATATTTGGCACTAAATAATCAGTAAAATTCAACCACAAAAGAAAAGAAGTTTGAGCATTACATAGTTAAAATACCGATATTTGCACGTTTAGCACATTGTAATTTCAATCTTACAATACCATGTACGTTGAATGCGCTACACTTATATTAGGCGTTGGAATTAATTCGTAGCGTTTTACAAGTGATGGGAAGTACTTTCATTAATGTATTTTTTAATGCTCATGTGAAATAAATAACATTCTTTCATTAAAAAACGCTACGAATTAATTCCAACACCTAATATATTAAAGTAAAGTTAGGGATATTACATTTCATTCATTAATTAACAGTGGCATACTTGACACTGAATCAGTGATTATCTATTGATTTAGATTTAAAGAACAGACTCTATTTGTGTACTGAGATATTGCTGTAACGAAGAGTAATGTTTTCTATGTATTTTTTATATTTTACGTTTTTCACCTGTATTTTCAGTATTAATAATAATAATTTTTACATTAATAATAATTTAAATCAATAATAAATAGCCTTTTACTCGAATTTAACATTTTTTTTACACCTAAAAACGACTATCTTCTACTTTCAAAATAAATATCTTTTTTGAAACGCGTATAATCATACTAATTTTTTTTTTTTGAAAGTACATCATCTTAAGAATATTAAACTAAAATTGCATTTAATAATATTATAAATTTAAACAGTTATAATTTTTTTAAGTAAAAATAATTAAAAATTTAAATAAAAAGTTATAATTTGTTTAAGTAAAAATACACATTTTTCCGAACTTAACATGTTTACAATTTTTTTTGTTAAAATTAAATTTTTCAATAAAACGCCATTGTTCGATTTTCTTAAAGGATGCAATTATATACTGTATGTTTTTTAAATCATTGCAATTAATACTATTGATTTGATAACACTTTAAAGATGGGTCGGATCATTTTAACCCACAGTAATCATCGTATGGCTTTTTTGATCATGAAGAGTTAATATAACAAAAATTCAATTACTTGTCGTATGCGGATACTAATGATATTTTCTCTCCGGTCGGATAGAACAGGGCTAGATAAAACCAAATTCTGGATATCCAGTACCCCTACTCATTAGCACATAAATAGCACTAAAATTAATGAATGCGAACTTGATTTGTGATAATAAGGAATATGTTTAGCAGGGATGATATTTCAAACTTTTTTACTATTTTATAAACATAAAAATATTATTACTTACTTTTGTGGCTCATTAGGATCTCTCTTTTTCTTCTTTTTTTGGGGCTTCGTTTTTCTTTGATTCTTTGCTCCAACATCAGCTGCTTCTGGCGATGGTGGCTCACGCTTTATCATAGCAATCTGGAATAAAAAAAAGTATTTAAAAAATATTCAAAATTTTTTTTAATAAACTATATTTTAGAAAATTTAAAAAAATATTTTAGAAAAATTATTTATTACAAATTATTAATTACAAATTGATTTGTACAATTTTTCTCGGAATGGTGGTATTAATGCAGCAGATACTAATTATATAAAAATGTTTTGAACTAAACTGCTACAGAAAGTATTATAAACATTAAATATATTTTTCACATGTATTACTACATGGGATGAAAAGTCCCGGGATTTTTCAATAGATGGCGCCATTAGAAAATGAACATGATTCATTTCGAGAGGTTCATCTGTCACTAATTTATGTATGAAGTTTCATGACATTTCGTTCATTCGTTTACAAGCTACAGTCGTTTAAGTGGCGTTACTTTCGCCTTCGTAAAAAAAATGAAAAAACAGGAATATCGCATCTTGATCAAACATTGTTTTTTGATGGAAAAAACTTCTGAACAATCATTGAAATGGTTGCAGAAATGTTATCCCACATCTGTCCCTTCGAGAACAACAGTTTATCGGTGGTTTAGTGAATTTAAAATGGGTCGTACAAGCACCGAAGACGCACCTCGCTCTGGAAGGCCAAAAGAGGCTACGAATACGGAAATCGTAAAGCAAGTGCATCGAATCGTTTTGAGTGATCGTAAAGTGAAATTGCGCGAGTTAACTGAGGCCGTAGGCATCTCAAAAGAACGGGCGGGATACATTTTGCACGATGTTTTGGAGATGAAAAAGCTATTGGCACGATGGGTGTCGCGTTTGCTGACCATCGACCAAAAACAGCAGCGCGTTGATGATTCAACGGCCGGTTTGGCGTTGTTGCAGCGTAATCGAGCGAACTTTTTTCGACGTTTTGTGACGATGAATGAAACGTGGGTCCATTATCATACACCTGAGTCCAATAGGCAGTCTGCAGAGTGGCTGAAAAGCCACGAAAGCCGACCAAAGCGACCAAAAGACCAACGCTCTCGGCCGGGAAGGTTATGGCCTCCGTTTTTTGGGATGCGTATAGCATAATCTTCATCGATTACTTGCAAAAGGGAAGAACAGTTACGGGAGAGTATTATGCAGCGTTATTGGACAAACTGAACGACGAAATAAAGAAAAAACGGCCCCATATGGCGAAGAAAAAA